GCCGCCCGTCTGCAGGGTACGGTTTGTCAACAATTTTGTTAAGAGGGACATAATGTCTACTTCCGACCGAAGGTCGCTGACTTTGATCTTAAGTATTTGCAGTTCCATCAGCATTTCCTGGTTGAGCCAGCGGAGTCCCTCCACCTTTGTTTGTTCATATTTCAGATAAACATCCCTGGCGGACAGCCTGTGCTCGCCGTATGAGATCACCAGGGAGGCGGCGGCGCCTTGTGGGAGGCGGTCCTGCATTAGTTGAATTATGTCCGATTTCAAGAGTGTCGGACCGCCCCCCCATGCTGTGAGTGAGAGAAGAAAGGTTGATCSACCCTTCATYGTGATCTCCYCGTGGGTTGCCTCTGGCRGTGTTGAGAGACCTRTCTCCCAAGAGTCTTTCCCCCGTCTGACCGGTATCAGGATCAGTCCTTTTTCCAGCGGCGGTGTCGTCCCACCTTTGTCGAGCAGGTGCCGTATCTTTTGCCGTTTACTTGTGATATCCGGGTCCGGGGGCGGTGGAGGCAGGGGGGTTGCAAAATTCTGTACCTTTTCCTGCTTCCGTTGCATGGTCTCTTCCGGCTACCAGGGGGCCAGTGCCAGGCATAACCCTTCCTCATCTCTGTTTGACATCTTCGTTGCCTCTTTTGTGGTTTCGCATTCTGCATTTTTTTCTTTTTCTTTTTGGGTTCCTTCCTCCTCCTTCCCTCTTACTCTTGCTTCTACTATGCCCGCCCCTATCCCATTGTCTATCACGTCCGCCGTGTCCTGGCCCTCTCTCCCTTCTTTCATCTCCTCCCCTTCCCTGTTTCCTGCGCCCGCCTTGTCCTGGCTCACTCTCTCTTCTTCCCCCTCCTCCCTCTCCCCAAACTCTATTTTATCTTCCTCTGCTTCCTCTTCCATCCTAGTTTCTGTCTGCCCTTCGCCTCCTGTTGTTCGACTTTCCTTTACTCCTTGTACCCTCTCAACTCCTCCCTCTGTGTTCTCCCTGTTTTGTTGTTCTGGGTCTTCTCTTCCCTCCCCAGTATGGCAACCTCCTAATATGCCTAAAACGAAATGCTGATAGGCTTCACAAGATTTCGGTTTTCAAAAAAAAAATTGCGAGATAGAATGGAGATTCAATTTTCAGAAAAGAATAAATCCGGTTTCCGAGAATATGACCACTTCTATCGTTATCCTAATATGCCTAAAAAACGAAATGTTAACATCAGAAATTTTCAGATAAACAAAATGCGATTATCAGAAATTTTCAGATATTTGTTCCGTGAAAACGAAATACCAATATCAGAAATTTTCAGGTAAAACAAAATGCGATTATCAGAAATTTTCAGATATTTGTTGCGAGAATTTTTTTTTCCAGAGATTTGACGAAGTCCTACTTGATTTACTAACGAGTAATCAATAGATCAAGCAAGCTGGCTACTTGATTGAGCGGGTCCTCTGAATGAGAGGTCCGCTCCGATACCAAACTGTTGCATACTGTAACGGTGCAGACCAGAACAAGAACCGACCTCTCTCACAAAGTACAAGATAGCGTAGCAGAAGACTTAGATACCAATGATCCGAACAATCAATATTGCAATGCAGCCCCGAAGATACATCATC